CGGCGCGGCCGGCTACTTCATAAACCAGAGCTGAAGGTCGTATGGGGCAGCGGCCGCTTTGGATGTACGGGCGATCGATGCGTACTATATAGAATACCATGCTATACGTGCTATAACGCGCGCAGAGCCGTTACTAAGCTCGGTTCTCGGTTGTTCAAAAGGGACAGATTATTCAAGCTCCGTTTTGAGGATTCCTAAACACTATAGTCCAGTAAACGACACGAATAACAGTACGACGACACAAGTAACGATGGTGTTACATTTTGAAAACCATGTCATGACTTGCAGCAATGGTACATGCAACTGCAAGTCATTTGCCATTCTCGTGCTGACCTGCATTTCAAAGTGTATACTCTATATTTAACTTGTGAAGAAAAGAAAATTTTATATTCCTGGCTACCCATGTCATTTTTCAGGAAAAAATTAGAAAAAAAAAAAATGTTATGTATGCCTAACCGACCTGCTAATTTTCACAATCCGATGTGACCGAACCAAAGGTAATTTTTGTTGGCCTAATCTGTGTGCAGTGTTGAGTTGTTGGCTGAAAAGAAGTAAATCCTGACGAAGGCCGATTGAAATTAATGAAGGTGAAGATGAATAGATAATCAGTAGATGACATGAAAGTGCCAAATTTTCGTTTGGATTTCAGCTCTAGACTGAGGGATGGTCATGATTCCATCATGCAGCACCAAAAGCATGATGGAGAGCCGCCTCAAAGGAGCGCTCCCATGCATCATTTTAAAGTGTGATTTTAATGGCAGGCTCTCCATCATGCCACTTAAGGGTGTGATTTTTTAGTGGAGGCTCTCCATCTGCACTCAGGGTGTGATTATGTGAGCGTGAAAAGAACGCCGTCATGGTGTCGCTATGGGAGGTCATTAGTAGTCTCCTGTGACTTTTCAAATCTGAAAGCGCTGCTTCACAGTTACGAATACACATCCAAACAGCTTCATCTTGGATCTATTGTAGCTAAATGTTCACTTTGTTCGAATTATTAACTCTGTCAGCTTGTGGCCTTATCTATTCCGGCAGAGAATATCTCGGTAGAATCCTGCAGGAAATGTTGTTCTCCGGGTGAAAATGTAAAAGATGATGTAAAGAGGACGAGATGTCTGTTTGTATACACGAGTAATGGCGGGCATTGCGTGTCGGGAGAGCTGCCTGCCTGCGTCCGTAGCTCCGTTTCCGAGACCGCCAAGCCAAACATAATGACGCGCAGCTGAACGTCCAGCCACACACAACACTAAGTGAATGATCGATAAGAAGCGCCGTTAAGGGATTTTTCGTATGATACGTGCCTCTTACATTTTCACGGAGAGAACATTCCTGCAGGATTCACGAGAATATTGCTGTGGAGTAGGTAAGGACAAAGGCACAGCGAGTATAATTCGAAGAAGTCAACATTAGCTACAATAGATACAAGATGGAACTGTTGGATGTGTATTTGTGCTGTGAAGGTGTGAAATGAAGTGAGCGCCAAGCAAATTTTCGGCAATAATAGTTCAATACTAATAGTAATACTAACTAGGCGACATAGAGTAGAACGGGTCAGCACTACGTTTTGTTGACTCATGCATTGCTGAAAGATGAACCTACTCAGGCTACTGAAATAATCAAGCGATATAAGGTTCCATCATAACATTTAATACTTAAAACGACAGTTAATGATACTTTTAATTTAACATAAACTCTCCGCCACAATACAGTTATTATCCAAGCTATATGGCCTCGCTACCTTTTGCAAATTTTCAAGGAAAATCCTCCCTGTGGTACTTCAAGTTGTACTGCCGCCATGATGTATCATTCAATAATTTGCTGTTCAGTTGTTAACGTAGTGTGGTGCTGTGGTTTTACCGCTAGTGGAATAGCATCGCAGGTATATGCCCACCGTAAATTACAGGTGTGCTACGCGATTTTTGCGAATCTTGCGTTTTGTTCAGTATAATTGTGATTTTCTAGCGTATGTAAAAGTAAATCGTGAAATATCACTTTGATATGCGGTAAAACACCTAGAGGAGGTCACAGACAGTGTGACTTGTGCGTTGCGATTTTGCGTTTAGCTGTTTACAGTTTAGGTTAGCATTACAGTTTACTGCCGTGACGGTCACTGCCCAGTTGACAGAGTTTATTACGATTACGAATAGTAATGCTAATACTAGTTATCGTTGCAATGAAAATAATAAACTGATGTCATAGAAAATTGGTACAAATTCTTGGCCTTTTATGGTCTTTTAGTTTTACTTTTAGCTTTTCGCAGGGCATGTGATATGAATTATGATGGCCATCGCTGTCAACACAAAATAGAAAGAAACATCAATGACAATAGGTAGTGATTACAGGGCAGGGGCGTGTAAAACTTGGGCATGTGTATAGAAAGTGGGTACTGGTGCAGATGGGTGCGTTGTCGTATCAGGTACTACAGATATGTACCCGGGTAGTTTTAGTTGTTTAGTATAATTACGTTTATATTTTTATGATGAGGCAATGTTAGGGTTTAGTGTACACGTCTGTAGTACAAGTCTTGGTTACACTTTGTGTATACATATATGTACCTCGGGTACATATCTGTAGTACCTGATACGACAACGACCCCTTGAGTGGTACTGGTAGCTGAATTTATTGATATTTTACGACTATTCATTTATATAAATTTATGCATGATTGATTACTGAGTAAATTACCCTATTTAGTTGTGAGTTTTCCAGTATAAAAGGAATTTACTCAACATAAAATGTATTCCATATTGCCAATTAACTGCATGATATCAAGTTTATTATGTAATATAGAAATTTGCACTTGGGGAATTTGATTCTTTCTCTTCGGGAAGAAATAAGTGTAGGAAGTGCCAGCGTCATCGATGGTTGAGTGTTTTGAATAAAATACTAAAATAGGGAAAACACTGATTTCTTCACAAATAATAAAAAGGAACACCAAAAAGAGTATTAGTTTTAATTCTATGTTTAACAGACAACGTTTTTGCAAATGTGGCATGTAAATGTGGCTTTGTGTCCAATGTGACAAGTTTGTAGGGTCTAAAGTCATGTACCGTTGTACGTCATAGTAGAATTTTATTGTGTAGAATTTTTCACAAACATATTGGGTCTATATTTATGATTTGCAGACAGTAACAGTTGTACCAACGTGATGGAAGATAGCCAGGACAAGGAGTGGGTACAGTTTAGAGAGGGAGACACCCGAGAGCCAGGGGAGGGTGAATCACGAGGGTCCCAGGATTCTGTTACCAGCACAAATGCACAAGACATCTCAGATTTGGAAGAGAATGGGTCTGACAAAGAATCTCAAGTCGTACGTAGCAGCAAAACTGAAGAAAAAGACCTGGATTTGGTGAAGACAGACAGGGGTGACATAGCTGAGGCTGTTGAGTGTACAATCCCAGCAAGAAGTGAGCAGACAGCCGTGGCATCGCCTACAGAAGAAATTTCAGAATCTCCTGGTGCAGTCATTGATACAACGCAGGTCGAGGTGAATATCAGTCGGAAGAAAAAGTCCGTTATGATTACAGAGGCGCCTCGTAACGATATAGAGCACAAACGCGAGCATGCTGTTCCTGGAGAGGTCCGTGGTACACAACCTGGTAGAAGCATTTTGAAGCACTCTAGCGACATTCAATTAGGAAGTAACTCTTCTGCCAGTACTTCACACAGAAGTGCTGTACCAGGTATGTTCTGAGTAGCAGTTTTGATGTAATAATACATACATAACTGTGTATAGATTTGTGTATTGCAGATTAATGTTGAGGTAACTGAACGTTCTGTACAAATTTATTATATGAATAGCTTTAGTTTGTACCAGCTGAAAATTAGTATTCTACCAGAATGTACATTTTCATAAACCTATCTTTTCTGTAATAGATAATGGTCAGCATTTGGAGTCAGTGTGGCCTATGCCTGGCAAGTGTGTCTGGGTCACAAAGGCCACGTTTGATACAGAAGTTATTCCTGCCCGGCTCCTGGAAGATGACTTAACTGTGAGTACAACTTGGAAAATCTAAATGTTTTTTTTATTGCAGGAAAGCTTGTGTTTTCTTTCGACCCGAGATCTAGAACTTTATGCCTAAGTAAAATGGGTAAATTACAGAATATTCCGGGATTAGGTGATAGTGATACACTTGATCAAAATGTCATGGTGCTGATGATATGCATCACCAGTGCTGACCTAAAGTTTTGTCAGGATGATGAAGGTGATAGTGTTTTGTCCTATATATAATTTCCTTTAGTATGGCACTTTACACTCATTTACAGTACCATTCTGCATGATATGCTCAATAGAAAAAGTATAAACAAGTGATATTTCTATAGATTACATTTGTGAAATGAATTGAAAGAGTTGCATTAATATTTCAGCATGTGCTGTAATAGCATGTGTGCACAGCATAGATTGACTAAAGGTATTTTCTCACAGCTGCCACATCACGAATACAGCATGGCTATGGAGTTTCTCGTGAATGACTACCGGTTCAATTGCTACTCGATGTGCTACCGACGCATCATCATCATTTGGCTGCTGCTCAGCTTTGTTGCTCTGTTTGCAATTCTCTTCTCTGGGTTGAAGGGATTGAACCTGTTTGCTGCTGGTGTCATCTGGTTGGTTGTCAATGCTGCAGGAATCATACTGTGCTTGTTCGCTAAGCGAAAGGTATTTTTGATCTAGTATATAGTAATATATTTTCGAGATCGTTTTTATACATTCCATAAATGATGCAAAAAATATTAACGAAACTTCTGCAAATGATAAACATATTGAAATAAGGTGCTTCTAGTTTTGAGCCAGATAACTAATTCACTAGTGTGGCAAATTTTTAATGCATATTTTCAGCTCCAATTTGCTGGTAAGTGATTAGTTGACTGAAGATGTTCAGTGTGCATTGCATCATAATCCTGTCTGCCTGTGCAAACTCTCCAGTCACCACCTAGGAATAAAACTGGTGTTCTAATCTCAGTGGGATCAAGGAATGGACAGAGCAGTGTCAGCCGTTAACCAGATACTCGTGAAACATAGCATATTGATGTGCATGGAAGACCAGGGCAGGTTGTCATGCCACAAGATCATGGTATCCTTATATAAAAAATAGGATATACAAGCCATCAATTACATCAAAACAGCCACAAGTACAGTGATACTGTTAGCTTGCAAGTCAATCATGAATAATTAAAAATAATTTAATATATAAATTTATTTAGTTATATCATTGGTAATAGCAAATCAGTATAAATCTTTTAGTAGTCTATATGAAGTGTTTCACAATGGTGTGCAGTATATATTATAACAGAATACAAATAATCACCTCGTGTAATTACAATACCTACAGTACCAAATTGAAATGATTAATGCAAATTTATTTGAACAATACGGTACAAGTCTTTGACAGGTCCTTGACATCAAACAGCTGCACTTTTATTACTTCAATATCACGGATTGTGTCGTAAGTATATATTTTGTGTCGTATTAATATGCTACAACTTTATTTACTAACTATATATGTGAGCTGTGTGGTGTGCCAACAATATGCATAGTCTGATCACACAACCTTACTGACAAATTCATAAATCCATTTATTAATGTCTTGCAAGTGCATTTACTCATAGCTTTATTATTTTAGTTTTTATGTTGTCATTTTTTGCATGCATCTATGTTACCCTGTTTATAAATCAAACAAAGTTTTGTGTACTGTCAATTGTTTTTACAGCATCAAGTTAGTAACATGCTTCTCAAAGGTGAAGTGAGGTCAAAGAAGAGAGTGGAAGAAAACCCAGGCTTCTTTGCAAGATGGGTAGGTACCAACCATATAGTATTGCATTCTACTACTCCAATTACTTAAAATAACACTATGACATAAGGTGTGAGCAATGTTAATAGATAGTTGGGTAAATCTCGAATGTAAGATGTATAGTGTTATGTGTAAGCTGAGGGAACCCAGTAAACTCTGGAACACCCATAAAATAGGTGTGGCCCAAATGGAATTGAAGTTCAATTTGAACTCCAGATGATAAATGAAATTAGGAGTGAAACAGACGGAACTGGATTAAAATTGTTGACTGCAAACCGAAATAAGCACAACCATGATTTGCAAGAAATTTGCAGATGTTGGATTCATTGTGTTCTTGCCACTGCAATACAGTTACTTTGGTATTTCAGAGCATGCTTAGAAAGCGACAGCAGATGGCACCACCAGCAGAAGCTCAATTCCAACATGCTGATGATGATGGTACTATAGCACCTGTTGCTGGGGAAACTGTGGTTGCTATGGAAGCTGATACGGAAGCAATAGTGAGTGATGGCGAGTCTAAAGTTTCATCAGAGCCCAAGCGGATGGTAAGTGAGGGTGACATTGTTCAGATAATTCATCATAGATATCACATTTCCCTCCTGTCAATGAGTGGTGGTGGCACACGTTTCTTGCTATATAATTTTTAGCTCCGCTGACGAAGTCAGATGCAGCTTGTAGAATCGCATGATTGTCCATCCGTCCGTGCGTCCATCAACAGTTAGGCACAAATCTTAACCGCTCGATGTACGGTCTTGATATTCGGCACGTCGGGGGGGGGGGGAGATCGCGAAAAGGAACTCGGGATGTCGAATTTGGGGGTCAAGGGTAAAAGGTCAAGATGTGATCAATGAGTGGGAATATTTCGCCCCTTAAACTTAGGTATAAGAGGGAAATACGGAATTGCGGCACAAATCTCACGGCTTGACTGATGCTCTTAATATTCGATGTGAGTAGTGTGATGGGAGAAACCGCATCAACTCAGCGCGAAATTGGAGGTCCAGCAGTTAAAGGCATGTTGGGGGAAAGGTCAGATATTCAGACCATTTTCTGAGGACATGTCTAACGGACCAAGTGGAAAACTTTTTTGTTTGCAGCGCTGACCTACCGTTTTTATCACTTTATTGAAAGGACCATGAAATCTACTTTCGCTGGACGGTGCGAAGAGTAAGGTGTCTGATACCTTTTGACCCTCAGAGGAGGTTAAACATGGATTTGTTGACTGTTAACAAGGACTGGTCAAACTGCTTGTGCTATTTAGAGCCCCTCCACCCGCCTCTCTCCCCCTCAGCCCCTCCCCCCCACCGCCACCACTACGCTCAGCCGCTCGACGCATATCCATGATAACATGTTAATATAGCGAAGTTAATATATTAATATATTAAAGTTACACAGCTGTATCTTTATTACTGTACTACCAGTAGGTATAGCAAAGCCTATCATAGATTTTAGATCTGTATTAGTAGTATCCTAGATATATGCTCTGAGCGCGAATGCGGTAGCAGGAGGGCGCACTTGATTCGTTTGCCAGCGAGTTTATCAGAAGAATACCTGGCTACAGTACACGTCAGTTGAGCGCTGTCGCTCTGCGGCACTTGTTGGTAATATATTTAATTCTGTTATTATGAATGATTCCTTGTTGCAAATACATTCACCGAAGATTATTCTGGGGTTGATTTGGAGGGTAATTTGCTTGGCGTTTGAAGAGTCCATTTAACAGATAGGTAAGGTAGCTAAATTGAAGCATGTTCAAATTGTAAGAGTATTGCTATGATTTCTAACAGATGTCATAATTTATCTTGTAGATCAAAGCAGAAAAAATGGTATTGAAATATAGTCAACATTACCTGAAGTCACTAGCAAGAGACCTGATCAATTTCCCTCCATCTCATATTGCTGCCCAGTTTCGCCCCGAGGTGCGACACTGCAGCAAGGCATACTGCATCTGTCAGTATATAGAGGAAAGACACTTCTATGATCAGCTTCCCAGATCACGGTAACCATACATAGTTTATCATTTATTTGTGTATATGTGCTAATGCATTTTCTTCTTTTCAACGTAGTGCCTTTGTGTAGTATATACAGTACACAATCTATTATCCGAAATTCTGAAAACCGAAAAGCTCAGAAAACCTAAAGTTTTTTCGTGGAGGTCGTCTGCACACCAAAGCTCTCGTTTGGCTGCACAAGGTTTGCTGCAGAAATATTAATATGTTTGGCATTACTCATACATATTGTACTGTACCAGTACAGCACTTGGCTGCTTGAAAACTTGGGTTTTAGTGCTGACTAGTTGCAGGATATACAGTATGTATATCTGTACTGGACTACCATTCTGAAATCCGGTGAAATCCGGTAGAAATCCGAAACGTGTCTGGTCCCAAGGGTTTCGGATAATAGATTGTGTACTGTAGCAGTACTCTTGCATGCTCGGCTGTAATAAATAACATACACAGTAACCGTATCTACTACTAACATAGAGTTTTAGTCATGTGAACTGTAATTTTCTAGGATACTTCTGCTACTTGTTGCTATAAACAAGCTTGGCCGATTCATTTTTATCCAAAAATATGAGATGAAAAGAACAACATGACATGAATTAATAAATGGCAAGAAATGAGAATTAATGAAAAATTTATTAAAGAAAAACAAACACACTAGAAGGAAGTGTATTGGCTACAAAGACATTTCTTATATCTTTATAAGAAATAAACATTTGAAAGAATATTTCCTCAGAAATGTTCTTCTGCTGCTGGTACACATTGATGTTGTTGCTGCTGTTGCATGGTGGGGCTGCTGCTGTTACTGCAGGGTTTCCCATTTTATGACAGGTGCACACAGCTTTAGTTTGGCGTGAGCACGGTTGTAACTTGACTTCAGTATTTTCATGCGCATGTGTTTGACTATAATTAGATTCCTCTTAGGTAATTGGACTGTTTTGAATAAAAGCTAGGGATTCTTTTGCCCCCAATATGCCAAGTATAAATACTCCAATGATGCTATTTAGATCTGTACCTCTTCCATGGTGTATCTATGGTTGACAAGCAGATGGCTTAGTGTATTCCCACATTACGAATATTACCATATAAGATGAGCAAAAGACATTTAATATAGTTCCTACTCCTGTAAAGAATATTTCTACTGATGGCTTTATGTCCTCTGTGAACTTGCAGTGCCTCGATGTATGGTCATGCCTATGGCTGCACGTATGCTAAGTGACTGCTCATATGCACCTGACCAGTTACACATCTGATTAGTAACAAATCCAATTCCACAGACGAGTGATAAGCAGCTGTCACGTGGTCGTGCATATGAAAACTAAACTAATAATATATAACATTAGCACACAATATGGTGTATAATGGAGCAGACATGCCTGGAATGAACATAAAAGTATTCTGTTAATGCTGGGAGATTCCTCAGGCGAGATAGATCGAGGGTTAAAGGAGCAAGGTAGATAAGTCACAGATTTTAAAATGGCACGGAATTGTTAATGAATTAATCTGGGATTGTGCTGAGTCTACTTGCATTTAACAGAGATTCTGTATCGTAGCAATTATTTGTTTCCTTTCAGGCTTGGTTCTGGCCTATCGTACATCGCAGCCTGATTTCTACTGAGGTCAACCCTTTTATCAAGAGTAAATGGTCAGCGATTAAACGTCAGTGGGGTAAAAAACAGATTTCAGTTATTTTTCATGACATGGTCTGAAATTTCTCGTAGCCTCGGCTATAAGTTATATAGATCATGACATGATATAACGTGGGTTTGACCAGTTGACCTATAAAAGGGTTGTGTCTACATGATAAATTAGGTCAAGGGATTATTAAGTTTACATTTATTTCAATAGCAAGATATCAAAGCTGCTCAATGTTTTTGTAGTTTATTAAAAACTGAATTTTTAATCCGTCATTGTAAGCAACGATACAGCCGTTAGTTTTAAAACATAAAAAAAAAAAAATTCTCATAACTGCATAAATATTAGTCTTCAACGTCCAAGGGACTATATCAAAGACGGAAAGAGACAAAGTTGATCAAATAGACAGATCAACACTGCAGATCGCAGTAGAACAAATCCTGAAATTTGCAATTAACTAAAGAGGCAGGGAGAGAATTCTAATATGGAATAACAGAAATAAAGAAGCTAAACTAAAAGGATCGATCCTTTGAAGATGGCACGTGTCGAAAGCAATCATGCTCAGATGATTGAGAATGTTCGGATTTAATTCTAATGAATATTGAACAATGAAATTTTTCATGTAGCATAATTTAAAACTATTTTTTAACTGAAAATATGCAAGGAACCTGGGGTATAAGGTAAAGGGTAAATTAAAGGGCAGCAGGTCAAACAGCAGGTTTAGGTTATTTTCTAGATTAATGAAAAAATTCAGAGGATCATGGCACGTACACAGATTCAGATTCAGATTCAGATACACTATACTGATATGCAAAGAGATTGATATTTAATGAGAATAATATATTTAGTTTGCATAAAAAATGTTCAATATGCAGCTATAGTACTTAAAGCGTCATCAGAAATGTAGGCCTACCGTAAAACCGAACGTTTGCGTGTATTTTCATTAAAATCCCTAGCAACACTCGGTAGAACAGTCCAAACAGACCTAGCTGAAAGTCTAGAGTAACTGTTCTCTCTGTATAGCACTTTCCGCACTGACCTTCACTGTAAATAATAGTGGTTGTTATTCACAGCTGTACTGTAGGTTACGGCTATGGGAATCTCTGTCTGAAATCTTCTCAGATCTATTGCTATTGGAGTTTCTTTGTATTTCTATGGTACACACCGTGACCACAAAGAATGTAAACACTAGGGCACAGTTTAGCTTGGTTTTGTAAGTATTATAAACTTAGTGGTGGTGGTGGTGGTAGCCTTTACTAGTGATGGGAATCGGTTTGACCCAACCGATCGATGATCGAAGATAATCAGTTGATTGTTATTGATCGCGGCTACCAGATATTGAAATATATCATATATCATATAATACAGTATTTTTTACAATACAATATCCTAAAAGCTATGTAACAGTATTATACTTGCTTATGTTTGGTGTAGGTTAGATTTAAGCTGTAAAGCAACCAAAAAACACACACAAATATAATAAAGGGTCATTTCACCAATGTTTGCACATATTATAAATTTTGTTATTTGATAATTGATTATTTATTTTCATAATCGAGTGCTTAATCGGTTGCTGCAAACGACTGACTTTCGCTTATAATCGATCATCAGGACATCACTAGCCTTTACCTATATGTTTTACACATTGTAAACGGATTTGCCATGTGATCATAATAGACAAGCAAATTGTATGGTGTGTAATATATTGTAAATTCATCGTTAACAAAAATTCTTTACATGTTCGGTTAATTTCCACATCTGCAGGTATAGTAATCGTTGCCTGTTTGTATTTATGAAATTAAGAAGCTAAATATAAATTAAAAATGCTTTTTAATAACTTGGTAGATACAGACCAGAGTTATACATGGCTCCTGCTACACCAGTTCTGTATGGTTTTCGCTAAGCATACTGAAAGATTTTAGAAATGGCTCCTACCACGACGAGGCTTTTTCCTTTAGGAGTAAGGAGCAAGATTTACTGAGCGAATCTCTGAGGTACACTTTTATTAGGAATAAGAGAAGCATAAAATCATCGATCGTAATGTAAAGTAAAATCATTTATAGATTTGATTTGTTTTAATTGTTTATATATATATGCACTATTTGTTGTGATTTGCACCCTATGATATAATATGTATTAGACCCCACTGATATATTTCCCCTTATTTTAAAATCCTGAAATGAAAAATAAGGCCTCTATTCTTCTTTAGATTTGAAAGTTTACTCTGATATGGTACATTTTATTTACCACATATTCATTTAGGACTAGACACAATAAGATAATTTACAAAGCATAATATATATAATGGTAATTTTGACCATACATATCTTGATTATCAGAGATACGTGATATTGATGTGATGATAGTTATTGAATACTGCTTCTAGTTGGTCACTATAGGTTCACCAGTATGAAAGTCCCACCTTTGTTATACCTTTAGGGGAACCCTAAATGGGGAAAAATACTGTGAACTGAACCTAAAAAAAGATTGCTTCCATCAGCACGTGTGATATAGCATCTTACCGATATAAGCTGTTGTTTACGTACCACTGAGCATAATACAGGATATTAATAATGAATAAAATAAAATGATAAATTGATTAAATTAAATCCACAGTGAATTTTTTTCAATTTACAGTTTAATTTATTAATGAAAAATATTTATAAATTATTTTTTTGGACCATTAGTGTATCACAAAAATACACAATGGGTTTTCCTTTTTAGATGCATTTAGGTGTAAAATATTAATGTGACATTGCATATATTTTGTTTGAGTTAAATTGACTATAAACTAGTGCCGTCTATATATTTGAAATCATGTGGTTTTAATAGCAATCAGAAACTTGTTAAATGTTATATTATAATAGTCGAGTAAACACAAGATCAAAGTACCATAATAGTATCTCACTAGGGGATTAATTCTACACTCACGAGCCAAAAGAAACCACATCATACCCATCGCCATGTGGTTCGAAATACTGTAAGGTTCCCTCGTGCAGATGCGGCATATAATTACGTTTTTATACCAACAAAAAAGTGTCAAACAAGTATTAACTGATACATAGAGTACCAATTAATACTGGTAACAAGCATATAATTATGGGCTTTATACATAGGGATAGAATAATATATAGTTTTGTATGTAATTTTTTTCGGATATCAACATGCACTGTGTTATACTGTTATAGGTATTGTTCCATAACTGGATAGTTATGTGCAGATAAAAGCAACTAATAACTAGTTTTGTAGTAGGGTGTGGCTTATAGAAAATTGTCATCATCAATATGCTGCATTAGAGTCTATGACTACAGGTACTGTCAGTCAAACAAGTGATTATTATAGGTTGATATAACCAGGGGTGAATAATGACAAATTTGTCATTATTAACCCCTGATATAACTATAAAAAGGTGGTTACACTCCTGCTGGGCCTTGGCATGCACTGCTTTTAATATGAAAGATTAGTTGGCACTAGTATATATATACATATATGCACGTCCATGCAGATCGATGTAATCATAATCAATCAATTTCGTGAGCCACAGGGCTTGCAATGAAATCCGATTTCAACATTGTAATTTTCATGTCGCTGCAGCAAAGACCAGGAATGGAAATAGCATGGTATTCGAAATGTAGTAATTCTCTTTGGACGCAGCGTTCATTCAGTTGCATAAAGTTACCAACCAACATGGCCTACTGTTTCTGGTCGTTTGTGGTAGCATAATATATGTAGTAGCCATGTTGGCCATTGTAACTTTCACATTAATAGTACATTCCAAGATAATTTACAACAAGAATGCAAATATTTTGATGCAGAATTATGCATCCTGTATGGGTGAAAAATAAAAGATGTCATAATGTTATAAACTGTTTGTTTTCGCCTTTGAGAAGACCAACATTAATGCATAAGTCATGACTTTCCCTCCAAAAAACACTACTTAAATATATCACTGTGCTTTCATATGTCATAGCAGCAAAAGTATTTTGGCATACATTTTACGTTTCTATAATAGGATCCCATACTATTAAACAGAATCTCAGAACAATGTTTTTACTGTAGAATAAATTACACATATAATTGCCGTATTTTACAAGCATAATTTAAAAACAAAAAAACAAATAAGTGGTCAATATACGCAAATTATAACGGATGTTACCGAATTTAGCTACACAGCATGAATCATTGTCATTAAAACTAAAATTATTCTTGGCAACTTGACCCATTCTAGAATTAGATAATAGTAATAACATGGAACCTTATAACTATGTAACTAGTATCTAGCATAGTGTTACTGTAAAACTTGTACAGATTTTATCATCAGCTATCAATAGATATAAAAACTTCATAAATCTAGACGTCCAGTCATAACGGTGAAGAGCAAGGATAGAAAACTACCACGCGTTAGGTTTGTTGACCTTGTTGCTCTTGCCAACGATATGCATAAGGTCCTTGGACATGTAGTAGGGACACTCTATGGATCCATTATTGCGTTCACTGTCCTCCACTGCAACACACAACATTAGCTGATGAGCACAGACCATCTATATACATCTGTACAGCCAAACCATCGAGTATCAGTGTTTCATATTTATAGTTAGAATTTAGGGAAAAAGTATTATCACGGGTAGATTTGTTTACTGCAGCTGCTCAGTTGGAGTAGTACTCAATCAGGGGAGAAACACTGAAGCATGCGCCACGAGAATTAATTAATGCTGTTTGACCTTGATATTAGGCAAATTAACTAGATAACAACTAGATAACATAGATAACAACAATAAAGTTCCCGCAACCACACTGAGCAGGGTTTACGTACAGAAACATAGAAAAAGGGTGTCCACAGCCATGCTGTATACGTTGAAAAATCCACTTGTTATCACATAGGACCCAATCACTATTGCCTGAAATTGATATTTATGACATTAGACGAGTAATCTCATTCAAGTACTGTATACAGAAAACCATTTTTACAACAGGGTTTAAGTTTGATCGAATCAGGAAGCTATATTTTCTATATGAGGGACAACATTATAAAGATGACTGAAGTATTTATATATTGTCACTGCATTTAAACATTTTGTGGTGGTGTATACATACAATTACGGGTGCAAAGTAGTAGTTGAGCTGTGGCACATAATCACCGACATAAGAACTCAGGCCTCCGCTGAAGAAGTAGAATGATACCACACCTAAAATATTTATAAACACATTGGTAATGCATATGCTTCTGCTGCCAAATGTAAACTAGAAACGAGCAGTTGTCGCCAACTACATGTATGCCCCGTGATCTAGTATGAATGGAATATCTCTGTAAAGGGCCGGAAACACTAGGCGATTAAATCGCCGGTGAATAAGTCGTGCATGCATGTGCACGTAGACGTGCGTGCGTGCATGTGCACGTAGACGTGCGTGCGTGCATGTGCACGTACACCTGCGTGCATTCATGCGTGCGTGCGTGTGTATGTAAACGTACGTGCATGCGTGCGTGTGTGCGTGTGTGCGTGTGCACGTATACGTGCGTGCGTGCGTGCGTGCGTGCGTGCTTGCATGCGTGCGTGCGTGCGTACGTACACGTGCGTTCGTGCGTGCGTGCCGTGCGTGCGTGCGTGTGCACGTTCACCTGCGTGCATGCGTGCGTGCGTACGTGCCTGCGTGCGTGTGCACGTTCACCTGCGTGCGTGCGTACGTGCCTGCGTGCGTGTGCAGGTACACGTTCGTGCGTGCGTGCGTGTGTGCGTGTGCAGGTACACGTGTGTGCATGTGTGCGTGCGTGCGTACGTGCGTGTGTGTGCAGGTACACGTGCGTGCGTGCGTGCATGCATGTGCACGTAGACGTGCGTGCGTGCGTGTGCACGTACACGTGCATGCATGCGTGCGTGCGTGCGTGCGTGTGCACGTACACGTGCTTGCATGAGTGTGTGCGTGCGTGTGCATCGCATGTGTGCGTGCGTGCGTGCATCGCTATTACATGACATGACATACTAAACATGAAACATCGCTATTACGTCAGTATCACTGAACAACTCTGATTGGCTGATGAACTGTACAATCGGGCGATTTTATCGCCGGCCCGGACACACTAGGCGATTAAATCGGGAGACAAAATCGGGGGACAAAATCGCCCGATAATATCAAAACGTTTTGATCTATGCGATGAAATCGGGCGACGAAATCGGGCGACTAAATCGGCGGCGATTGAGTGGACACACTAGGCGATTTCACTGCGATTTAGTCGCCCGATTTTATCGCCCGATTTAATCGCCTAGTGTGTCTGGCCCTTTACCAAGAGTGTTGCAGTTGTTATCCCCCGGGCGTGGAGGGACGGTAACGTGATACAGTTGACGTATACTTCAAAACTTAACAGTAACCATAACCCTGACTCCAACACTAACCAACCCTAACACTAAATATCTATATATCGGATCTCTATATATAGGGGTGTCATCCACAAAAATTAATCTATGGTGTGGGGACAGATATCATGATGCAAAAACCCTAACCCTAACCCTAGCCCTAACCCTAACCCTAACCCTAACCCTAACCCTAACCCTAACCCTAACCCTGATCCTAACCCTAACCCTAACACTAGTGCTGCCATGTTACGGTACTGTCCCTCCACGCCCGGGGGATAGCATTTCCCGTTTACCAAAAGGCATCTTGTATCTTGGCTCCCTCTCTTGTATTTCACAAGGCACTCGATCGATACATCAAAGTGCGGGGATTATCTAGAGAAAAAGGAGATTAGTGCCGCCTCTAATTCTCTAAATATTAGTGTTTCGAATCACTAGAATTTTCCGCACATAAACTAACTCTGGTTTCAATAACCCGTGGTTGTCTCCTCTTCAGCCTTCTATTTGTTCACCATTCTTATATCT